AGGGAGCCTTTCAAAGGCTAACACCTGAATTTCAGCTTTGTGCATTGTTGTAGGTAAAGGCTCTGAGGGGCTTCCAGCAAAACCCTTGGTTTGCTCTTTAGGCAACTGCATTTTCCACCAAGGTTTTCTTCCTTAGCATTTGGGAATCTCCAGGGTCATGGATAACATGGATTGTCCTGGCCTTCAGCTGAGCAGCACTGTATGTGTTTTTATGCAGACTTGGTTTATTTTTTCCCCTAATCTGTCTTTGCTAGATGCTCCTTTGGGATTCTCCTGCAGTCACATTGCATCCCCGGGTGGGAAGGGAACCAATCATCAGTTGCCTTTAGTATTGAAAACTACTGTGATGTACAAACTACTGCATGTAATTGATTTGGATTAAAGTTTGTGAGAGCTTACTGAGTCTGTGGTGTGGGGACCAAAAATGTGTCTCTCTTGTTTTTTCCTAGGAACTTTACATTGCTGTGGGAATATCTGGAGCAATCCAACACTTGGCTGGAATGAAAGACAGCAAGGTATGTGAAGGTGGATGTACTAGAAGAGATTCTCGAGGAAGGAAATGAGTTGACTTCCTTGATTTTGCATCAATGTTTTAGATGGTTTCTGTGTTTCCTGCTGCTTTAAAACACTTTGACAAAAAAAAGATAATGTGGCAAAACCTCTCACACAAAGAAAAACCTTTGCACTACAAGCCAAACTGATCAGTGGAAGCAGCTTAATTGACTTTGTTTAAAAAAAACCCAACCCAAAGCACATATGCCTGAATTCCATACAATAGTTCCATTTGCCTTTATTCCAGACTCTGACATATTAATTCATGCATAACAATGTGCAATTTGAATTATGAACTTACTATTCCATAAAGTAAAAGATGTCTCTGACATTCTTGCATTTAGCCATTCAAATGGAAACCTGCTATAAAATGGCAGTAAAACTTTAAAAGGTTTAACTCATTAGTTGCCAAAGCAAATAATCCAAAATGGGAATTGCCAGTTTGGCCCACAGTGCAGTGTTTGAAAAGAGGAGCAGTTACCTGCTGATTGATACTATCAAATGCCAGACATCAAAAACTGGAGGTCCTGCCTCCCACAGTAATATTTTAAAAAGAATATGGGTTTTTTTCCTATTTTCAGGGAGTGAACTTAACCAAGCCACAACTTTGAGTCGTTTTTAAAGCTGAGGGAAAGGGTTGCAAAGCTTTGCAGTAGTTTCTTGTGTTTAACCAGTGACAGACCAACGAGTTTGTGACTGGTATTGTCCTCCTCACAAGCCAACCTATGTGGTAGGATGATCTCTGGGAGAAAAAACATTGAAAATTCAAAATGTCAAGGGTGTGTGATGGGCAGGGGTGAAGGTCTCTGTTGAGAAGTTGGCATTGTGGCAGTGTATTCCCAAGGGCTTTGGTGGAACAGCACTGCCACAGTGTCCCCTGCTTGCAGTGCAGCAGAGGGAGAGTCCAGCACTGCTGCCACAGGCACCTGGGCTCCTCTGGCACTGCTGGGCCACAGTGGCACCAGTGGCTTTGTTTGGAGTTCAGTCTGCAGCTGTGCCCTTGGGCAGGTGGGATGAGCAGCAGCCACTGGCTGAGAACTGGATACTGGGAGCTGCACGAGACTTGGGGTGACCCTTTGTGTGTTCATCTGCTGCCTTCTCTCAGTTAAGGCTGCCAGCAGCACTGGGAACCTTGAAGTGCCAGAATTTCCTTTGTTACAGAAATGATACTGTAGCATATTGCCTTTATTACTGAGCACTGATACTACCCTGTACTGTAACAGCAAAACCTATGCTTTTATGGCTTTTCCAAAGGCATGTTTGATATTTTGAGATACTCTGCTATAAGAAATAAGGACAGATGAAATTTGTCAGTATGAGATGCTTATTTAATCCTTCCTTTTCTCCCATCTCTCAGTTTTTTAGTGTAAGCTAATATGTCTATTGTAAAATTCAGATTTAGTTAGTGGTATTTGGAATGTGTTCTGCCTTCCTTTAGCTAAAGCATTTAGGTGAGGTAGTTATGGAAAAAGATCCAATTTTCCCAAACAAAGAATTCTGCAGCCATGGGAGCTCTCTGGAGTGTCCCCTGTCCTCCCTCAGCACTCTGAATTATCTGGCATTGTGAACTTGCACACTTCAGGATATGTTTTCCAAAGCAGTCAGATGCTTTCTACCAAGTGAAATGTATAATTTATTTGTTCTTTTACAGCAAGGTAGAAAATGCAGCTTTTGAGGAGACCTGGAGAATCGTTGTTGCTTTCTTTCCTTATTTCTAATTCCCTCATGACAGTTCTCCTATCTTTTCTTAGTCAGAAGTTTAACTCACTAAGTTCTGTTGTGAGCAAGGTGATGCTTTTGCTGCTTACCTGAGTTAGCAGTGAGGTAGAGAACCAAATCTTACTGAAGTTACTTCAGCTGAAGGAGGCAGAGGAAGGACTGGGCTATCAAACCAAAGCTTCAGACAGTTTTGCAAGTAATTTGTTCATTATTTTTGTGCTAAGGACAGAGCTGGCAGCCCCTGTGGTGTCACTGCCTGCTGGCCTTGGCCGTGCCTGAGCATCAGCCCTGTGGATGGCTCTGCAAGGAATGGCAGGGCCTCAGGAGGGCCAGAGAAAATCTTTATTAGGCCACTACCCTCAGGGATCACAGCCTGGATTTGCTTCCTGCACTGCAGCTTGTCAGGGGAGGCTTGCATTTGCAAACAGGGATAACTGAAGTAAAACCAATAAAGCTCTGGGGAGAACATTGCAAGGGCAGCATTGCTGCAGCACCTGCACATCCTTGGCTTTGAGGTGGCCACAACAGGGCAGGGGCAGTGCTCTGGGGACTGCCTGCTTGCCTGAGTCCTTTACAGAGACTCTCAGGGGACAAATGGCCTGCCAAGAAATAACACTTTGGGGGGCCTAAAACCACAGGACTTGTAAACTTTTTGAGTTACTGCCACTAGGCCCCTGCTTAGAGTGGAGGGAGTAAAGCAGACCCATGGAGTGTGGCTCCCTGTAAGTGCCTCAGTTGCCTGTTGGGTCAGAGCTGCCCCCAGCCCCTGCTCCCACTGGCACTGCCTGGTGCTGTGCTCTGGGCCCCTTCCTGGTGCAAGTCTCCTTCTGTGAGCTCTTGGGCTTGCCTGAGGATTCTTTTCCCTTCCTCTATGGAGTGCTCCTCATCCTATTGCAGATTTTGATGAGGATACCCACCCATGCTTATGTTGCTGGAAGTTGTCACAGGCAGCTAAGGATGGTTCAGTGTATGGCAGAGTTTAAACCAAGACGTTTTCTGGATCACTGTGTTGGGATTTGTTGTGCTTTTTTCTACTGTGGGACAAACTAAATCTTATGTCCCATTTTAAGTACAGGGGCTTCTGGGCAGGGCTTTATTGTGCTTGTTGTAACTGCTGCCTCCAGGTTAGTTCTGCAGTGGTGCAGCTTAGAATGTGCAGGTGATCCTTTGCACTCATTTTTTTCTAGGCTTTTCAACAGGGAAGGACAGCAGAGATGTGTATGGTGAGCAGGGAAGGGAGGGTTTTGGGTTCTTTTTCAGGTGGATTGTGGTGTATGTGGTGGTGTTTGTTTTTGAGATGGAAAAATATTAACTGCCCAGATAAATCTTCTGCTTCTGGGGGCTTGGAGAGAATATAGCTCATTTCCTGGCTAAGACCTGGCCCTGTAATACAGCCCCAGAGGATGATTAATATCCAGACTCATATGGTGCTTTAACTTTGCTTGCAGACCATTGTTGCTATTAACAAGGATCCAGAAGCTCCAATTTTCCAAGTGGCAGACTACGGACTGGTAGCAGACTTATTTCAGGTGAGGCTAAATTTGATGTGCAGGATAACTTTGGGAGGGCTGACAGGAGCTTACATAATATAATCTAATGACTGTTAACAATGTCTGTGTGAGGGTGTTTGGGTTGTTGTTTAAAAATTTGCTTTCTGATGTCATGAGCTGCATGCTTAAAATGGAATCCCTGCAAGTAGATTGTGTTGGGGTGGTGTCACAGCCACCTTGCCTCAATTCTGCTTTCCTGAGGTTGAACCGTTTTGGAAATAACCACACACAGGTGCTTGTGTGTGTCCTTAAGCCTCATAAAGTTTGGAAGTACAGAGTTGGCAGGATTACTTCTGCCTGGGCTTGCTGCCTCACTGACTGATGCCCAGGAGGAGCCTGCAGTTCCCTCTGCAGCCCTGTCCCAGTGCCTGTGTGTCACTGCCACACGTGTGAGTGTCGTGGCTCTGTGGAGGCACGGGCAGAAACTCTGCCAGCACTTAATGCCATTGCTGAAATAATGCCCGCTGGCTCCGTGGTGAGCACGGGCCTCTTTGTAAGCCAGAGACACAGGCACATTCTGAAGAAACACCATGTAGACAATTTCCTTAATAAATTTTGTACGAATGCATTATTTCCACCTAATGGAAATGTAGCTCTCTTAAATAATTAAGAGGCTTTATTCAGCAGGAGAGAAGTGGGGAGTGCTGTGAGCTGGGGTGACCCACGGCCCCTGGAGTGCTGTGCTGGGTGGGAGGGTGGGCAGTGTAATTGCAGGGCTGGGAACTGCACAGGGCGAGTTGCTGGGGGTCAGAGGGGAACGTGCACTACCCTGGCACTGGTGTTTGCAGGCGGTGCCAGAGATGACGAAGCTCCTGAAGAAGAAGTGAGTGCTGGTGATGGGACCCGGTGCTGTGGAGTAAGGACAAATAAAGGATTTTGCTGGAAAGAGGTGGGGTTGGTCACTGTGATCTCGGGATAGTAGGTTTTTGTTTTTGTTGGGGTTTTTTTGGTGGTCTGTTGTATGGCACATGGAGTGGTGGGGTGGAAGAAAGCAAGACTGGGAAGGCAGGTAAGAGAAGAAGGCAAGAGTGATACAAGGCAGGAAGCTGTCAGTGTTTGTTTGTCAGTCTTTATTCCCATCTCCACACCCCTCCCAGCCATGCTCAGCCCTGGGCACGTCAGGCTGGGGGGTCCGACTGGGGAGCCAGGCTGGGCCCAAGCTGTCCAGCAGCTCTGTGCTGGCCCTGAACTGGTGGAAGTTCTCGGCACAGTCCACATGTCCCTCCAGGCACTGTGGGTCCATACTGGCCTGACTGCTGGAAGGTCCCTTGGTCCCACATAGCCACCACAGGTCCCAGCTGGCCCAGAGCTGGTGCCAGGGCAGGTAGGTCACGTGCCACAGACACTGGTGAGCAGAGGCGATGCTGGCCTCTGTGCTGGTGGCCGTTGCAGGAGATGCCACAGGTTGTCCGGCACCGCCACCTTGCCTGTGGCAGCCTCGCGGGCCAGCGTGGTGAGCGCGTCCCCACAGGAGTCCCCGTTCCCCCAGGCTGGCCCTATGCCTCAGGAACCCTGCCCAGCCGTGGCTCTGGGGGCCCCAGCGCCCCATACTTCTCCTCAATCGTTGGGGCACCCTGGGGGCAGTCGAGGAGTGGCTTGAGCTGGAAGACATCAAGACTCTCCTGGTTCCTGCGGTTGTAGACACTGAGCCGGTGACCCAGGTCGGGGCTGGCCCCCACCGAGCCGGCCGGGCTGGGCAGCTTCAGGTTGACAGGATCCAGCCCCTTCTGCGCCAAGCAGGCCTCTTCGGACAGGGACGAGAGCAGCTCCTGCACCACGTTGTGCGGCACGCACGGCCGGCCGGGCCCCAGCTCGGCCCGCGGGCCCGCACCCGCCTGGGCCGGCTCCTCGCAGGCCGTGCTGCAGTCCGGGGACGAGCCCAGCGTCTGGCTGCTCTCGCTGCAGCCCCGCGTGCCCGAGCTGACGGTGGAGCGCGAGGCGCTGCCCGACGTGAGGCTGGCAGAGGTCCCGGTGCTGCCCAGGCGCAGCGGCACCTCCACCGTGAACAACTCCGAGGAGATGTTGGGCCGGTGCACGTCGATGGCGGCCGTGGTCACCACGCAGATGGCGGCCTCGGGGACTCCGCTGTCTGCAGGGACAGAGCACAGAGGCAGCTCAGAGCCCGCCCGGGAGGGGCTGCAGGGCTACAGAGAGGAGTTCCTGTCACACACCCAGTACCTACAGCGAGGTACACAAAGCCATTGTAGTGCACAGGTCCCCTTTAATCCATATTATATATATATATATAATGTACACAGTAACACAGCCCTGTCCTCCATCCCCGGCTCTCACTGTGTGGTTATAGGGGCAGCAGCTGTACAGGAGACACAGGTATAACACACACTGTATTCCCCTATATGTGTGTTTATACAGTCACTCCCAAACACCACCACCTAGAGGTTTAGTCACAGAGCTAAAGGGGTGTGCATAAGGGCCTGCATCCCTCACCCACTGTGCCTGCATGTGTACAGGGCCAGGCCATCGTCCCTCCCTTAAAACACCTGGAATTCGCTACTGCTACAACAGTAGCAATATGCAACCCCCCCCAAATTGTACTGGTTTTTCTGTATGTGTGTGTGTACTCAGGGATATACAGACACAGCCACACACACATTTATACCTACACATTAACAACCCCACTCTCTCGAGACACTCTTTAAATTATGCACACATGCCTTTGATGTATGGCCTGCTCTATACACGGGGGATGTACAGGCAGGGATACACAGCTACAGCCAATGTCACATACCTGTATATACATACATGAGCACACGCATTTATTACATACAGTACACAGGTGGATAGCTGCCCCCTCACCCCACCCCACTTTATATACACATGATCCTATAGAGATGAGGAATTATGTCTGTATGAGCCCCATAGAGAACACATTGTAGACAGACCTGTTACACACACCAGATACAGTGCCCCCCTGAAAGAAGTTTATCTACCATTAAATGAAATATATACAACCCTCTACCTTTCTGTAGAAATGGATACATATTTCTCTGTGTATGTGTATTTATTGGCTAGATACCTCTGTAAGAGAAGATACCTATCCATGAACTTTGTATTTACATAGCTATTTATAAACACACCTTTAGATTATATGGAGATCCATATATGATACACTGCACATACAGACATCATAGACAGACTATTAATCCATGCTTCTCCTTTAAATATATAGAATAATTCTCTATAAATAGAACACACCTGTGCTCTCACACACGAATACACTTACCTTTATATAGCAATACATTGAGATTTGAGATTTCTCAGTGTGTGTGTATGGCTGGGAAACGTAAGTTATAGGGATATACAGAATACATCTGACCTAAACATCAACACCCCCCTCCCCCTTCTCTATTTATGTATATATATCTATGCAAATATACATACACACATTTACATGTACCTTTTTACAGCTTTCCAAGTAGATTCTGAGGATCTATAGAGAAATATATCAATATATAATACCACAGACCTTTCTCTATGCATGTGCAGACACACACACACACACACACACATACACATACATATATATAATACATAAGTGTATCTCCACAGTCTCTCACCCACCTGATTTTATATGTACCTAATCTTTATATATAGCTTTAAGCAGATAGATATAGGGAAGAGCTGTATCTGTGCATATATATACAAGCCCCCAAGGTAATACATTAGACCTATATATAGATATACCTATACATAGATACATAAATTTTCTACATACATATCTGTGTATACATGTGTGCACAGATACAGAAAAACATATATATCAACTATCTATAGGACATTGTTGCTCTCCCTCTTGGAAAACATAATTGTTACTCTTTAAATAGAGTGTATACAATTACACACATATGCATATATATATACACATATATGCACAGACACACATATATATATATAAAACCACATATAACGAATAATACAAGATATAATACCTGTATAACACGATAGCTAGACATGACACCCTTAACCTTTATATATTTAAAATTATATACATATACCTTTTAGAGATAGCAAAGTTTATTATGGGGACATCTACACAAGGATATGCATGTGTGTAATACAATATGCACCTGCCCCAGTTTAAACCTATAGAATCTATACCTGCATAGATTTCTCCACACAGCTAAGGAGTGTGTGTGTCCATATGATAGATTACATATACATGCACACACACTGCAGTGTCTGGTCCCCATAATAACACATCACACCTATGAATATGCAGCATTTTATAGATGCACTGTGTAGTGCCCTCTTTAATTCCATGCAATTGTCACTTGCACCTGCACAGCGTTCCCTTTGTGTGGAAATGCACTGACTTGTCTCCATGTACAGACAGGGACAGTGTATAGCAGGATATACATTGCAGCTGTACTTGCACATGTTGTATATAAGGAGTATTACCCACAGCAGTGAGGTGTGTGTATACACATACACCTTGGGAGAGAACATCACAGGATTCTGGGGGTACAGAGAGAGATTTACACAGTGCTGTACACCTACACATTCCATAGAACACATCACTACAGAAATGCACTTTCCCCCTCTCCCTTTTATATACACATAATCTTTAGATTTCTCCATACAGATATGGGCAATATGTACATACATGAACTCCATATGGAATATTTTACACACAGATATATACACTATAAAACACAGCCCATTTTAGATTTATTTAATTAAATATATATAATGATTTATTACTAAATAAAAAAGATCCTGCCTCTCTATGTGTGTATATTTATTTATGAAAGGCGTGTACATATATAAAAAAATCCATTGTACCTTTACTTGAGAACTTGGATATATCTTTACTGCTGTCGGTATAAAGGGCGTTAATCTCAAGGGACCTGTGTATATATACACACACCTGTAAGTGAATAGGATATGCCTGTATATACCTGCTCACTGTATACACACACACAAACACCACCATTCTGGTGGCATACAGGCAATGTGTGCATGGGTGAAGAGTCCCCTGTGAAATACAGCATATGGACTTTTGATCCATGGAGCACACAATACTCCCTTTAAATACAGTCTGCTCTCCTTAAATAGAACACCCCCACACACATATATAGACATACATATAAATACATATGTATACATACATAAATAAGTGTGTGTGTACATAGGGACTGCAGATAGAAGGATATACATATATAATACATTATAAAAAACACCAATAATACATATTATACATACACAATTATATTACCCCCCCTTTTAATGTCTCTTGATGTATATTATGGGGATATACATCTGTAAACAGGACCATATACTGTTTACAGTACCATGTACCAGTGTATATATATCTCTTTGTCTCTGCACACACATACTCACAAATACATAGGTATATACAGGGTATCCCCCAGTTTTATACACACATTTATCCACAGAGATGGGAGATATGTGTGTATCTGCCCCATATATAGGATATAATGGATATAATGTATATATCTCTAATGCTCTCACACACACACATATATGAGTACCTTTGTAGACATGTGGAATGTATATATACAGGGATATACATATTAAATACATCACTGTTATATGTGAACACACACATTATGTATATTTGTATATGCACGTGGTCCCTCACACCTTTCCCTTTTTACATACCCTAAACCAATGTAAAGATTCATACATATATATATAGAGAGTCCTGTAGAGCCTGGGGATGGATGGATGTAGAGGGATAGACACCAATAAAACCAATATTTTGTATCTCTATGTGCATATGTGTACGTTTTTTAAATAGCTCTCTGTATAATTCGTGTGTCTATGGATACATAGGCTTTCTGTCTCACACAAAAATATAAAATCTGTATATACAGATTTTATATACCCATATACATAGCTTTATATATAGACATCCAAATTTACAGAGGGAATGTCTCTATGCATAGATCTACATTTCCCCTTCAAAATTTATCTACATATGTAGACATGTTTATATAATACATGTGTCTATATATACATTCATGTCCTTTCAAATATATAAACCATATATGTATTTAAACAGACTCTCACATACCCATATATATCTCTCCCTGTATCTAGATATGTATCTTTACATGTATTTATACAGCTATAAAATACCAATGTAGTACACAGATCTTTACCTTTGTATCTGTCTGCATATATATGCATAAACAGCCTCATTTATACACATAGATAAAGGATAAGCCTATATATAAAATTCTATGTATTTATATAATTATAGAAAGACAAGTATATATTTTATCTGTAAAATACACACAATAACATGCATGATTATAAAGAGATGTATATGCAGACAGTCTTATACTCACTTCTAAAATATATATAATTATGTTTTAAAAGAAAATCTATAGACACACTTTTTTTCCCTCTGTATGTGTAGGGATATAATTTATAATGTAATACCTATACATGATACACAAAGAGATCGATCTGTGTTCTATGTCATACATATGATACATGTTAAAAATATATCTATACAGCCATTCACGCCTCCTTAATTTATGTTATCTAAGAAACAGAAAAGATACGAATATACAGTTTCTCTCACACATATCTGTAAATATGTATCCCCATATATATTGGATAGACATATATATATATACACACACATAAATGCCACACTTGAAGGATCTTTGTGCAGACTGTACATACACACATAGTCCTGTCTAAGTGTATGGCTCTCCAGGTATGGATATGGCTATGGATACATAATAATTACAGCTGGATTTTGTAATGTATATAAAATACAGATCCGTAGATAACATGTACAAATGCCTTTGCAGATGTTTCAGTATAAGGAACACACATTAGCTGTGTTCATATGCACACACCCTGGCCTGTGAGCAGACACACCAAGGCCTCCAGAGCAGGCGTGTCCATGTCCCCACGTACAGAGGTGACACAATGTACATACACGATACAATATCCATGTGCTCCTAGGGTCATGGTCTCCAGTGCCACCTCTGCCATGGCAGGGACACTTCCACCGTGCGGGGTGCCCAGCCCTGCCAGCCTGGCCTTGGGCACTGCCAGCGATGCAGGGGCACAAACGGCGGTGCCAGGGCCTCGCCCCTCAGCGCTCCCAGCCTGGGCAAGGGCAGCTCCGGAGCCTCCTCAGCAGCTCCACGTCCTCCTCCTGCTGCTGCTGCTGCCGATCGTGCTCCAGCTCCTGTCGGGCTCTGCAGGGGGAGCTCACCCGAGCGCGGCAGGCGAGCTCCAGCTCCGTTCCTCGGGGCTGCTCTCGATGCCCCGGTCCGCAGGCGGGGCCCGTGCTGGGCAGTGCCCGGACACAGGGCCGGGACCTTCCCCTTGGCCCAGCTGAACGCCGGGAGCATCCAGGAGCCTCTCCGGCCTGCCTGCATCCCACTGCTTGCCAGCTGGGTTTACAGCCAGGCACTCACACTCTCTTCTGTTTAGTGTTTACATAGCTTCAACTACACAGTAATCTATTTCCATGTGTGTGGATGTATATACAGGATTAAAGAGATACATTATACAGAGATATGTATTTTCATTCCTGTAATATATACACATGTATTTCTATAATATACACACATATATTCTGACCATCTCTCACACTCCTTTACACATTTTATATATTTAATATATGCATTCTAATAAAATATCTCACTGCACAGAGACACAGCCTTTCACATGTCTTTACATTTGTACAGATATATCTTCACATACACAAAAACCTTTATATATGTATAAATCTGCTCACATAATACCCATATGGGGATGTATGTATGTTAGACATATATGATACACTCTATACATGCATGTACAAACACATGTATGTTTACTTACATCTTTATCTATGTATGTGTATCTGGGTTTGTGTGTATATGTGGGATATATGGAATACACTACAGATTTATATACATACACATATATACATATGTTATATATATACTAGACACATCCTTATATAAATATTTCTATATATACCTATATTTCACTATGTATGCATACTATATATGGGGATTAAGTATGCAATACATAATACTGTTATATATACACACATAAATGCATATATACATGATTATATACATCCACATACCTGTGTATATTCTATGTACATATATATGCAGGCACACACACACTGGGTTTTTTCCTATAACCCTGTGTGTGTATATATATAGGGATGTATATGTGGGGATATACATTTGCAACACATTACATTCCCCTGGCCCCACTGTGCTGGCAGCCAGAGGGCAGGGCTGTGCAGAGCCCCCAGTGGTGCCCAGCAGGGCTGTGCAGAGCCCCCAGCACACACAGGAACCCCCTGTGCCAGCAGGATGCCTGCCAGGAGCATCCATTTGAAGGCTGCCCTCGGGTCAGGGCCCAGCTCCTGAGGTTTCCCACCATTCAGTTTAACCTTTCTGAAAGGTTCCCAGCATGGTGCTGGGCTAAGCTGTCTCCCCACTTCTTTTCTCTTCATTTATTTTGTCCCTACTGTTCATTCTCAGATCCATTTGAACTGTTCTGTGAGCTGGACAGCCCAGCCACAGGGAATTAACCCCTCCCAGATCTCCAAACTATCCTGAGTGCCATCAGCAAGAGCAAACTTGGGGCCCTTCAACTTCCAGAGTGACTACTGGCACACACTTCCCTGGACCACAGCAGAAGACTCTGTGGTGGATTTCATTTCCAGGACAGGCCTACACCACTGCTCAGTCTCAGCTGCTTTACAGCACACAATGCAATGCAAAATTACCTCTCACGTTTGTGTTTTCAAGCAACACTCACCACTGCTGGGCTCGTTGTAGTAGCGACTGATGTAATTGTTCATGTCATCCTCTGAAAGAACAGAAAGGCAGCCCTTAGACGACCATTTATTTCATGAAATGGATGAATCCCAGCCTGTGGAAGGCTTTCCTCTCCCTGCATGCCCAGAGCCACCTGCTCTGGATTTTTAGGCCACAAGGCCTGAGTGCATCACACCCATTCACGCTGTGGCTGCAGCCAGCACAGGGACTGGATTATCTTTGTCACAGTCCTTTGTGGCAGCAGCCGGGGACTGAGGCACTTTGGGCTCCAAAGGAAAGGTGCTCTGTGATCTTTCCAGAGGCTGACAGGGTCTGGCCAGCAGGGCCCTCCCACCCAGGGCACACAGATAGACCTGGCATTGATCCTGACAGGCTGAACTAAGGACACCAGCACAGACCCATTGCTGCTGCACACTGACATCCTAAGTCACCTCCTTCCCCACAGGAGAAAGGGAGGCACAATATGATTTTAATGTGTAATTCCCTACCTTCTAAGATAATGCCTTTTCCATTTTGAATGAATGAAGAGTGATTTTGGTGTATGTAACACATGCATATAAATACATAGCATTTAGTGTAATGTTAGCATTACACTATTTGTTGAATTAAAACCTACTATAAAGAGAAAACTAATCAAGAGTGTAGTAGTAAACTTGTAGTGTGTGCACGAGAGCTACACCTGAACTTCAACAGCAAGTTAAAAATGAAGAGGTGACCACAGAAGGGAAAGCAGCAGCTCTACTGCATGTACAGATTTCAGATGCTGCAGATGACAGAGGGATTTACTGTGATCTTACAAAAAAGAAGAACATTTTACCACTGTGGAAAAAACCATAAACTTCTCTTGTTCTGAGCAGCAGGCAAACACTGCTGCTAAGATGCAGTACTGGCAGGCTCCAAGAATGTCAGGCTTCCAAGCAAGCTGACCTGCCCAATTTGTGGTGTATCTGTGCTCTAAAAAGCATTCTCTCCTTTTAAGTGCTCTTTTTGATACCATGTTTCAGAAACCCATGCTCATCCCTTTGAGCCAGATTTCCTTCGTCCCCCTGGGTCTCTGTGGCTGCAGTCCTGCCTCATCACAGCACATTGCGGTTTGCAGGTGAAAGAAACAGATGTTTTCTGGGGAACACTTTCCTCACACAACAAGACCCAAACCACCAAGCACTCTGTACCTGAAATAGCTGCACTCATAAGAAGGCAATCTAACCTGACACTGAAAGGCAACGTGGTTGTTTTCCTGGTTTCACTGGATCTTAAAAGCTTTTTCGGCCCTTGTTGATCTTTAAATGCCTGCAGTCAGAGGTGTGCTTTGTGCTAATGCCTGAGTTTAAAAAAGAGGCCTCAGAGTAGCTCAAGGCGATGCTGCTGGATTAGGAGTACATTGCAAGGCTTTCCAGCTATCTCCTCCTAAAACACACTTCATTTCAGTCATGCATAATTGATAGTCTCAGTGCCACCAGGCCTGCCAGCCCTACAGACACAGGCTGTGGTTCAGAGGATGCCTGTGTAGCTCTGCTTCTGGTAGGGCATCTTGGAGTCCAATTCTGGGCAGACAAATGAGGAAAACAGCACAGCACTTAGGCTGGACGAGGGTCACCCTCCCTGTCACTGACAAAAGCCACCAACGGGGGCCTTGGGTGCTCCCAGTACAGTCTCTCCAAATGCCAGACACTTTGCATCAAAGACAGGAAACACTTGGAAAAGTTACTCACCTGCTTTTCGTGTTTTAATGCTCAAGTCAAGGCTTCCTTAGGACTGCCCTGCCCACCTGTGTGCCAGCTGACACCAGGTACCAGGGCACTGCTCCCAAACACAGCACTGTGTCCAAACCAGGTTAGCAGAGAAGCTGCTCTGCAGGGCAGCAGTGGTCACTGCCAAACACCTGGACAGGAATTCCAGAAATGCACTGTCCCTGTCCCTCTGGGAGGAGAATTCCAGCCTGGCCTGGACCTGTGTGTGACCACTGGCACACACTGGGGGAGCTCCCAGCTGCCCACTTTAATGTTATTCTGTGATGGCCTTATTAATGTCATTGCTCACCTCTGCTATCTGTTTAGCTATAAATTAAATATATATGTATAAATATATCCCTATGTGCATGGAAATATAAAACATATATATTCAACCTTGAATAGTTTCTTATGAATAAAAACCAATAAAGAGTAATGGAATAACAGCAGCAGAATAAATATTTCAACAACAGATTAAGTTTCTGAATCATTACATTAAAGCAAACTGACAATTAACAAACTCGTCTGAGTCATATGGGAATCTCAGCTGCTTTGGGCATTGAAGGTTATAAAACAATTCCAGTTACCTCCCATTATATTCTACATTACTGAAAAAGGAGTTCAAAATAATCAACAAATACCCAAGTGAAAGCACCTATCAGTGCATGTCAGATGTCCCCAAGAGCCCCAGCTGTGCTCAGCACCATGGAACACAAGCACTGTGAAGTGCTCGTGGGGAGTCTGAGATGAGTCCCTGCTTGGACTGGGGGTCCCATGGGATTGGGATCAGGATCAGCTGGTGGCATGCAGGAAGAGCAGCTTTACACAAGGACCAGAGCACTTGTATTATTTACATTCTACACAGTGTTTTCTGCTGGCAGTCTATTCCACTTTCAGCTTCAGAAAGGGAGTTAAATACTTCATTCTTCACAATTTCCATGAGCTTTAAATTTTTTTTTAAATTTTATTTCTGCCACCTTGGAATTTTCAGGGTCCAGATTTAATTTTTCTCCTTTCCTAGCAATAGATCCATATCTCCTCCAATACACAGAAATGTTACCTGCACTTCTTTTTCCAGAAGACAGACTTTGCATGAAGATGCCCAAATGGTATTTACAGTAAGCTAAAAAACTGGCACTAAGCAGAAAGGAAAAGTGTTTCCCTCTTAATTCCCATGAAAATGTCTATGGATGGTGACTGGGATCCTCTTGCTACATGCACCAACAGGAATCACAGAAACTTTTCTTTTGGAAAAGGCCTTTAAGATGGAGTCTACCAGTGAACCTAACACTGCCACTAAGCCGTGTCCCTCTGTGCCACCCCCACCCTTAATAATGACCCCAAGAAAATGTGGATGACAGGAAATTTAGTGATGAAGACCCCAAAGGTGTGATGTGAGAAAGAAGAGTGAGGCAGCTCTTCCCCATGTGAACGAACACCTGTGGTGAACAAGGTCCAATCTTCCCTGCATGGAGGCAGCGAGAGGATTCAGCTGAGAGTTCTGCTGAGCAGGGGAAGGAAAGGAAAGGGAAGGGAAAGGGAAAGGAGTAGAACAGGCTGCTGCTCCCTGTGCTCCATGAGCACAGTTTGCTCAAGCAGTGTGGGCTGCCAGCTCCAAGGGGTGAGGCAGCAGAGACCACAAAAGGCCAGTGGGGCTGACTCCCAGCCCACAGAGGGAATGTGGGAGTGGGAGCTGCTCACACAAAGCCTCCCTGCACTCCACCAACCCCTGCAAGGCTGCTCACTGCACTGCAGCCCCATCTCTGCTGCTGCCCAAATCCCACTTATTGAAAAAACGTGTGGTTCTCAGTCAGGCCTGTCTGACAACCACTGGATTTTGTCTGATGAAGGTTTCCAAGTTATCTGCTTGTTCTTTTCCTGCAGGACTCCAAACACACACTGCAGTGGCTCAGGGAGTAATAAACTACTTAGAGTACACTGCCATATAATCTCATCTGACCCAAGAGAAAACATTGCAATCTCTCTCTCTTGGCCCCATAAAAACCTAATAAATTTGGTGAAACATAAATGACATTCCACCCAAGGCAGATTTCTTTCAGTTCTATAATGCCTCAACAATGATCTTTAATTGTTTCATCAATGCCTTCAGTGAATGATCTGCAATTACCCTGCATACAAGAAAAGGCCTTAAAAAGGGGATTTTATTTTGAAATACTTCATTATTGGATTATTTTATTTCACTTTTTAATTGCCATTGGTTGTACTGCCTTCTGTTTCTCCAAGCTGAATTTTGTGAACTGGAAGGTTATTTTTTCTGCTCTGCAGCCTCCCACTGAGGAAGTGAGTCCTCAGAGTCATGTCTTAGCCCAACTTCCTTCCAGAAAACAATCTTTACTAGGAGGTTTCTAAAGAGGCAGATCTTTCATCTGTTTCAACAGGAACCAGGAGCAGCCAGCTGGCACTTTCCAGGAGACTTCCCTTCTTTTGGTCTGAAGACAGATTGCCACATTAGTGCAAGCTGCAGTAGTCACACCACTGCTCCATTCACACACATCCAGTCCCTGCAGAGGCTGGATGGATGCCTGGGCACACGGATGTTCCATCTTGAGAGCAACTGTAAAGTCAGCTTGCACAGAAAACAGCAACAGCTTCAGCCTGGTTCTAAGTCAGAAATCAACCTGTGGCCAAAGTCATTGTGCAGAAGGAAATCTGGGATGTGCAACAGGCTCCATTATCAGCAGATGCTGCTGGGACAGAAACCCAGAATCCTGACAATGAATGGGGGGCTTTGGGCCTCAGATGGTGCAGCAGGAGCACTGTGAGCTGACTGGAGCAGCCTGGGATGCAGCACAGCTCTGTGCCAGGGTGGCTGTGGCACAGGATGGCCTGGGGGACTCTCAGTGCTCTTCCCAACCTTGTTCCCTCAGCATGGATCAGCAGCTCCACATCTGAGCTGGCTCAGTACACTCAGCTCCAAGCAGACTCAGAGGAACCTGGGTCTGTCTCTGTCAAACAGCAACATTTGCTGGGTCTAAAATACAAAGCTAAGGAAGAATTTGGCTGCCACCAAAACAATCATCAAGACAAGAAAAAACTAAGCAAAAGGATTCAAGAACAAACTGTTATAAACTGGCAACAAATAAGTGTAATCTGAGAATCAGGAAAAGACTTGTAATACTTAGAAGCCAAGCTGCTGCAAGGGTGGCAGAGGGCAGAACACATCCCTGCTGTCACAGGGAGCACCATCTGCTCATGAAAGGGATCCTTATGAAAGGGCTGCATGCTTGGACAGTGGAAAACATCCCAGTTCTGTGTTCCTTTACCTGTCAGCAATGTCTTC